TTTGCCAGGCAAAAAATTTACCACTGGCAGGAAGACTCCAGCAAGCTACACATTTAGTTCGGACTAGCAATTTGAACAATGAAAAATCCACTATATATGCGGGTTTTATTTCAGTTATCGTTTATAATAGTCACTGTCAGACTGATCCAACACCAACATATCATTTTATTTTTTAAAAAAAGCTATAACGCATTACAACAGCTTATGGCAATTGTCAGGGAACTGCCATAGGCTTAGAGGCGAGAAATAGAAGGGCAGTTGTGTTACAGGGAGCTTCCGAAAATCTTGCGAAGCAGTTCCTCTTCCGGGGAAGAGGAAAGCCCCACCTCCAGTGGAGAAGAGGTGCAAGGACCAGAGGATGCTAGGAAGAGCCTTAACACCGAGCCTAAGCAAGCCGGAGAGGAGGGAAGCACACCCTTGCCATCGCCCATCCTGCGCAGTAGTCTGAGGCGCAGAGAGGGGCGGAGACGGTTGGGGGTAACGAAACTTTTATGTTGGGGGAGGTACAAAAACAGACCACTCCCGGATTCTGCTAGCAATTGAGCCAGACATAAACTTATGACACTCTTCACTGTAAATAGTTTGCACCAAAATAAAGCCTGTAAAAGAAAGGTTGGAGTCCTGCCTGGTTACTCTCGAGCAACTGCAACAGCCATCTGCAATGAATTCCACAATTGGATGACATACTCTGTGAAGTTGTTTGTCTGTCCTGCAAACCTATCAGTTTCATGGGATGCCTGAAATTTTACTGGTTTCCCACTATTTTGGATAGTTTCCTATCTGTGGTGTTTCCCCCTCCAGGGCTGAGTGAGTCCACTGTATAGCAGCCACCTCACCAGCATAGTGGCGGCTTGTCCCCTTGCCCTGTAGGATCATTGTACAGGATCACTCTTTGAATGTTGAAAAAGTTTCATGTACCCTGTAACCATTTCTTAAGTATTCTACATACGGAAGATACAACATCTCCCTCATAATTTTGGATGCACTTTTCTTCATCTTGTTTTTATTGGGGCTCAGCCCTGAGTGCTCACTGGAAGGACAGATCCTGAAGCTGAGGCTCCAATACTTTGGCCACCTCATGAGAAGAGAAGACTCCCTGGAAAAGACCCTGATGTTGGGAAAGATGGAGGGCACAAGGAGAAGGGGACGACAGAGGACGAGATGGTTGGACAGTGTTCTCGAAGCTACCAGCATGAGTTTGACTAAACTGCGGGAGGCAGTGGAAGACAGGAGTGCCTGGCGGGCTCTGGTCCATGGGGTCACGAAGAGTCAGACACGACTAAACGACTAAACAACAACAACAAATCCAATGCAGTTGTCTGATTAGCACAAGGATTTTTTGCTTCCACAATGGAACTGTCCCTTGCTCCCCTGTGCCCTCCCCAAATCTTCTCCAGAGTGTTGGAAGGGAAAACCCAGAAAAGATTTATGGGATGCCCGGGGAAGAGAGTGGGTGAAGTTTCATTGTGCAAGCAGAAATCCTTGTGCTGATGGAAGGAGACACAACACGTTCTCTCTTTTACATGGGGTGACACATAATATTTGAAGTAAGGGTGGAAGCACTATACATGCTGAATTGCTAGCCTCTCTGGCATGCTATTGGCTTTCTGTGCAACCTAATCAAATGATCTAGGCTTTGAGTGCTAATGTAATAGCATAGTAGCTAAAATCTTGCCTATGGTGGCCTTAGGGAAGCCTCCCTCCCACAACTGCAAAATGGGGTGGGGAGAAAATATTGACTTACCTTACATCATGGCTGTAAGAGCTGCAGCTAGTTAATGCATGTGAAGTGCTTCAAAAACTTGAAAGCACTATGAAATGTTAAATATCATTATTATTCATGTGTTAGGACTGTTCAGCCATAAAAAAGAAAATCCAGCCTGAACGCAGAGTTGGACTAGAGTTTTCATGTCTCTAATCTATAATTAGATCTTATAGTTCTTAGATAATTTGACATTTTTCAGCAGGAGACTATCAGTTTTGGAGGTAGTTTTTCCTCTCTTCAGTTTAAGATTTGTGCCCTATAACAGTCCGATCAAACATTTGTCGCTTAGGTCCCAACTCTAGCCAGTTTTGCTGGTCCAATGCAAGGCATGTGGTTGGGCAATGGGTCCAGGGAGGTGTGATCTATATGGCAGGCATAGGCAAACTGGGCCCTCTAGATGTCTTGGGATTACAACTCCCATCATCCCTGACCACTGGTCCTGTTACCTAGGGATGCTGGGAGTTGTAGTCCCAAAGCATCTTGAGGGCCGAGTTTGCCTGTGCCTGCTATATGGCGTGACCTATTCTTCAGTACTATGGCAGCTCAGTAGCTGTTGTGCCTATAAGCATACATGCACGTTTATACACACACATATGTATGCTGGTGCAACATAGTGGCTACTGAACTGCAAATCAGGAATCCCACAGTTTGAATCCCACCTCCACCATTAAGTGGCCAGGTATCCTTAGGCAAGCACACCTGCCTCAGCTTGAATTCAACCCATTTGTAATATGCAGGACAGTTGCAAGAATTGCAACCGAACACATACGCAGCACTTTCAAACACATGCTAAGTTGCTGTTATTACTAATCAATATTAAAACTGATTATTGCTACAAGGCCCTAAGCATCTCTAGTAAAATATTTCAGCTATTAATTCTGAAGGAAAAGCATGTCCCACCAATGCACACCCAGATTCAATCCCTGGCGACTCCAGAGCAGGCTGGGAAGTTCTTGGAGAGCCAATCACTGCAATTCTGAGCTCAGGCAATAGTGATCTTGATGAATCAATGATCTGACTTGGTGCAAGGCAGCTTCCTATGTTTGCAGGGAATATCCACTGAAGGATAATACCCATAGAAGTGAATGTCTCTTTCGGGGGAAATCAAAGCCCATGTGGATAGGCTGCCAACAACCACTGACAGCAAGGGATGGTTGCTATGCACTATTCAGCCTCCTTGTCATCTCCAATTCATCTCTCCAAGTATCTGCAGAACTGGGTCAAATACAAAGGGATGTTGCTCTGTTTGGCTAAGGCTAGAATATCAGGATAAATATCTGCTTCTCTAAATACCTTCTGTTTTCTTAGGATGCTTCAGTGTTCATCAAAATCAGAGGTAATAATAAACTGATAATGAAACACATGCTTTTGCAGAAAGCTTCCTGGAAGCGGGAAGAATTCGGCTAAAAATGTCACAACGCTATAGAGTTATAAAATCACAGGCTTTCTTTACAGCGTAACATTTCTGGACAGCGTACATAAACAGCTTTATGGAAAGCAGCATTCGTTTTCTGCCTGCCTTAGTCACACAAGCATCATCTTCCCTCCCCTAAAAACCTCCAGTGGATCTGCAATAATACCCTCTCACATGTGTTTGATGCTGAAGGGGCGAATGCTCATTATTTTTGTTACTCTAGACTGAAGCTACATCAATGCTGTAACAGTGAGAGTTGTGAACAGCAGTGACACTGAGTTGACAGAGGAGTCTCTGTGTTTTGGATCAAAGGTCTCTTATTCCTCATAAAAGAGTCCTGCACTTCAAAGCATAAGAGTGACAAGAGGTTAAGACAGTGATAAGATCATGTGTTGTATCTCTCAGTGGTGGGGGTTATCTACCGATGACAGTCACTCGAAAGGCACTGAGTGAGCTACTAATGAAATGCTGAGCAATTTAGAAGCCGTGCTCCAAATATGCTGCTACCATATAACTTTACCTACAGGTGTCTGTCTGTGTGGTGATCACACAGGGCCCCCGGACGTTTGACGGTCTATTGACCCTGTGCCACCACTGTGATTGCTTTCTTCGCTGCCACCACCCCGCTTCTCACGGGGACACACGTTGTAACATTAACAGATAATCAAGTTTATTTTTAAATGCAGGAACACGCGTATGGTTTCAGTTTATTTTTCTCTTGTCAGTTTCTTAAATCTTAGTTCCTAACAACTTCAAACTGAATTATTCCCAACTATCTATCTGACTCCACCTGACAATTCCTCTCACTCTCTCACAATACAACTCTACCAACCCATACCTAATCCTCCCCCTTCCTTCTCCAACACCCAAGCCTCAACTGACTTTCAAAACCTCCCACTCTAACTTTTACTCCCCCCTTGCATTCTCACTGGCCAATCACATCACACCCATTTTAACCCTTTCATTATGACCCATCCTAGGAGGCAAACGCCACAGTCTGTCTTGATGGACCTGATGCCTATGCCTTCAACTCTCTAGAGCTGTGTAACATAGTCACTACCATTACCACTGACGTATGACAACTCTCAGTAGTGTGATTTAAGTGGCACAAATGCTGTGTCATCTGGAATAAGCTAACAAGGACACATGAAGTGTGGCTGTCCTGCAGCATGACTACAAGGAAGATGGGAGTTTGCATGTTGTCTAGGTCATCTACCTGAATGTCTTGCCAAGCCTTGGTGATTATTCAGGAGGATAAGAAGAAGTGAGCATAATCAACTGGAATTTATGCATTCATAGGCAAAGCACCATCTTCTAAATTTGCCCAGAATGAACATTGTAAGGGTTTCAACTACTAGACAATCAATTGAAGATAGCACCAACAAGGCTATAAAACATGTTTCCTGGTGAAAGTAAGATGGTGTGTAATACGATTAAGGTGCTTCAAACTATGGGACAATAATAATTGTGTGTGTGATATATAATTCCTGTGTAACATATAAAGTAGAGACTCACTCAACACCCCCTTGGTGATGTACGTGAGCTGCACACAGTCTCACATATCTCACTGCAGGGGATATTTGCTTAATACGTAAGGCAGAAGAGAGAACACATGAATCATTTGTGCTTCCCTTGTCACTGCTTGTCAGTCCAAAGCCACCCTCAGAACAGTGCATAACCTAGGCAATTAGGAGCAGAAACTACACTTATAACTAATTCAAAGTGCTCTTCGCAAGAAGAGCAGAACACTTAATTAATTCAAAGAATCGCCTTCCCAAGAGTGATCTGAGAATTACTTGAAACTGGAAAATAGCAGTATACCTGGGATACTCTGCCTCCTTACAGCCAATGCTCCTTCGGGTGGTTTTGTCTGGTTTGCAGATTTAGTGTATGGACTCTCATCTGAAACACAGAAAATAATGACAATTTCAGATTCAAGGTGTGCCATATATTTCATCTGATTCCCCCAAAGGATTATTCTGCTGCTTTGCAGTAAAAGAGAAAAAGACTTATTTTATTTAATGGGGAAACCACCATATTTCCATCAAATGCTCACTTCAGTAGCATTTGACATGTTGTTAATCTTTCAAAAGAATGAGTGTAAAGCAATAAATGTAAAGGTAGGAAGCCTAATAGGGCCATGTATTCCTTGTAGTAACCCAAACTGATCAACAATGGGCTTTTCCCCATGATGACCTTGTTTGTATCTAATGTAAAACCAATCTGTGAGTTAATGCAAATGTCTGAGTTCTGGAGATGAGATGGTACTGATGTCCTGAACTGGCAGGACAGTGTGGAGGAGCAGAGGAGTATAGCCATGACTGGGACACACCAGGGCAAGCTGAGGCTGGAGAAGGAGAGGTTGGTGTAGAAAATACTCACAGGGTGACCAATGATGGCGAAGGGATGGGGGGGGGTGTCAGTGCACAGGAACCAGAGCAGCAGGACCCATCACCAGAGCCAGAGGAACCCCTGTCTCCCTGATCATGGCAGGCTCTGAGGAGTAAGGAGCAGCAGGAGGAACACTCTAGGAGGCTGAGGAAGACAGGGGCCCACAGCCCAGCTTCCTAGTTGGCCAGGTGGGGCTCGCTAACTCTGGGAGGAGGTGTGTGATTCCTCAGCTGAAGTAGGCTGAGGGCAGGTGAGGGCCACCTGCCTCATCAAGTCCAGATGCTGCAATCTGCATGCAAAGTACAAAAGGGAAACAGAGCTGAGGTGCTGGGTCTGCTCAACTTCCCATGTTGGTTGGACCATGGCTTGGATGGTCCAGGGAGCTCTTTGGAGATGTGGCTTGTGTGGGACTGATCTCTAGGTGCCCTGGCTTCTAGATCAGCTGCTGAAGTGGGAACCTGGCCTGGCTGGACTTTGGACTTGTTAGCCCACTGTTAGCATTGGCTGTGGAATTGTGTATGCTAGTGGGACTTGCTGCCAGGGACCCGTGGTTCAGATCAACTGGAAGCCCAGTAGCTGGGAAACAGTTTAGGGGAGGTTTTTTCCCCAAAGGAAAACAGTGGGCAGGGCAAGGGTTAAAGATCATACATTCTTAAGCGCCCCATCCTTAAGTGGCTTTCTAGTTTTAAGTGGCCTCAGGCCCAGTGGCATGAATAGTGTGCAGTTTGGCTTGCAGTCCTCAGAGATGTACGTGAAAAAGAAACACATATATTGCAGATTGTGTAAACTTTTATGTTACATTACTTGCAAGCCCCTGACATTTCATTTTAAAATCTTGCTCTTTTATTCAGTTACTGAAGCAGGATAATATACTTGTACAGCAGCTATGTTTCAGTAACAATAAGGGAATTCTTCTTTAAATTTGGGTGTGTGTCTGTGTCGGGATCTCCGCTCGGCCAAGCTGATAAAGCTCATATTCCGGAATCGCCCTCCCAACGAATAATTAACAACCTGAGCCTTTGATGAGGCTCCAAGGCACGTTCCCCCATTCAGCAGAGAATCCAAAACAGCATGCGGAAGTGATGAGATTTATGGCTACATCGCTATGCTTTATTTCTTACTACGCAGACAGCAAAGAAATATACATCCTCTCCCTGTGAGAGCAGAGAGCACCTGAACAACCAAGGAACAAAGGAATCAGGAAACCACTAATGTCACATCCTGTCTCCCGTGAGACTTCCAACAGTCTGGACTGTCTCTGGAATGTAAACAGAGCCTTGTGACTCTATGCAGCTGCTCAGTGGCAAAACAGAAACTAACAGTCTGCCCTGCGGATAGGACCATACAGTGGCAGAGGAAGAGGTAGGGTGCCATCGCGGCTGCCCCCCCCGCCTGCGCTGGGCACCACGCCCCCACAGGCGATGTGCCACGCCCCCAGGATGCCTGCCACGCTCCCAGGACGTGACAGCCCCGCCCCTTCCTGCTCTCCACCCCCCGTGCTGGAGCATGAAGCTCTGCCACTGGGACCACATCCCTTTAAATTCTGAAGGATCTATTTTTTAAAAGCTATTTAAGTCCAATCTCAGAATGGCTGGACAATGCTATACTGGGGAGGTAGCATTGAGGCACCCTAACGCTGCCACAGAATACCAAGGATCAATACATTGTCTGAGGAACTGAATAGTGTTTAGACCACTTCCTCAATAAGCAGTAAAAAGAACAGAAAATTAGATTCCATTCTGGTTCTCAAGTAGCTCTTAACATACCATCAAATAAAGCTATTTGCATTTTTTTTCTTTGAACCTGAAGAACCAATTAGTTTTAACCATATGCATATTTACATGCTTTAAAAATAAGTGAATAAGGCTATCAAAGACTAAAGTTATCTCGGGTAACATCCCAAGATGCGGCCAAAAAAAAGCAGTAGTTTAATAATAATAAAAATTCTTTTGACTGGCCCACTTGAGGTTTCATTTCCATTTACTGATTTCAGTATTTATCACTTGTTACATATAGGTTTGATTTTAGAAATTACTTCAAAGTGGGAAGGCCATTCATTTTTATGCAAAACAGAAATGCGGCTTGGTGAGAATTATTTAAAATCACGCCCCAGATAAAAAGCACCACAAAGGTTAATATAGCATTTCTCCCTTCTCATAACCATGCTTCCTATACCATATCCCACTCAGGCAGAGTGTGTACGGTCTCACGTCACCACCTTACAAACAACCCTTGGTATAAGAAGGACATTTCCCACGGGTTCCAACACTTGGGCTGGATGGTATTAGGGGAGGTGCTCCTTGGGCCCAAAGTCATTCAGAGCTTAGTACACCAACAACACCATGAATTGGGATGCGGGTGCTGCTGTGGGTTACTCCACAGAGCCTAGGGCTTGCCGATCAGAAGGTCGGCGGTTTGAATCCCCGCGATGGGGTGAGCTCCCGTTGCTCGGTCCCTGCTCCTGCCAACTTAGCAGTTCGAAAGCACGTTAAAGTGCAAGTAGATAAATAGGTACCACTCCAGCGGGTAGGTAAACGACATTTCTGTGCACTGCTCTGGTTTGCCAGAAGCGGCTTAGTCATGCTGGCCACATGACCCGGAAGTTGTACACCGGCTCCCTTGGCCAATAAAGCGAGATAAGTGCCGCAGCCCCAGAGTCGGTCATGACTGGACCTAATGGTCAGGGGTCCCTTTACCTTTACCTAACACCATGAATTGATGCTGGAGGAGACTCTTGAGAGTCCCATGGACTGAAAGAAGATCAAACCTATCCATTCTTAAGGAAATCAGCCCTGAGTGCTCACTGGAAGGACAGATCGTGAAGCTGAGGCTCCAATACTTTGGCCACCCCATGAGAAGAGAAGACTCCCTGGAAAAGACCCTGATGTTGGGAAAATGGAGGGCACAAGGAGAAGGACACGACAGAGGACAAGATGGTTGGATAGTGTCTTTGAAGCTACAAACATGAGTCTGACCAAACTGCGGGAGGCAGTGGAAGACAGGAGTGCCTGGCGTGCTCTGGTCCATGGGGTCACGAAGAGCAGGACACGACTAAACGACTAAACAACAACACCACCATGAATTGGATCCATTAGCCTGCAGGCAAGCTAGAGCAGCATTTTGAAGACTGAAGTGAGATGATCTCCTCTTGCCATTCCATGCAGGAACTCAGCTGTTGTGTCCTGCACCAGCTGCATCTGCCTGCAAGGTTGCAGACGGTCCTGGCTGGCAAATATTGGAAACAGAAGGCTGAATCAGACAGACTTTGGTCTGCTCCAGTTCATTATCCCTGCTACTACCACTACTACCTATCACTTTTAAATCAACAGAAGTTAGATTCAGCCCTTCTCAACCTGTGGGTCCCCAGATGTTGTTGAACTACAACTCCTATCACCCCTAGCTAGCAAGGCCAGAGCTCAGGGATGATGGGAGTTGTAATCCAACAATATCTGGGGACCCACAGGTTGAGAACCGCTGGATTAGATGGATCACTAATGCCCATTTTTTAAAGAATTAGTAACTGAATGAATTTTCCAAAGTTGCCACTGACTCTTTAAAATGGTGAACTTTGAAACCAAGTATCTTAGATCTACACCCATCTAGTCACTAGAACATGGATGGGGAACCTGTGGAACCCTCAGGTGTTGATGGACTCTGACTTTCTTCTGTCCCAGCCAACATGGCCAAAGGTGAGAAATGATGGAAGCCGTTGTTGTTGTTGTTGTTGTTGTTGGTATCTGTCAGTCTCGAGAGAGGATGGAGTGTGCCTCTGGAGGTTAGCAGCAGCTGGGGTGCAAGCCTAGGTAGCGTGTATGGAGGTCCTGGCTGCCCAGACAACAAGACCCTATCTCTCAACCTCACAGATGTGATCCAAAGGAAAGCAGAGCAATACCTTTGGCAGCAGCTTGGTTGCAGTAGTTGCCAGAAGGAGATGTGCAAGGTGCCGTCGAACCATCTTAGGGATTCGACTCTGGATTTGTGTAGAGGTTATTCCTTAGCCTTTTCTTCTCCCAAATATATCCCACAAGGCAGCGGAGGTTTAGGGCCAGAGTTTTCCTTCTCCTAGATGGGCTACCTTCCTAGGTTGATGAGCCCTGTCTGCCCCTCGCTTCCCTATGTAGCACGTGCAGAAACAGCTTTCTTGACCGTTGGTCCCACTATTGGTCTCATCCACTCAATCTGTCGAAGTCTGTCTTTGCATGCAGGAGAATTTCCTAATTGACTGAGGGTTTGAGACCCATCGGCTACCCAGACCTGGTTTAGCTGGCCAGCCAAGGCCATTCCCAAGGTGTGGTCACTGTTGCATGCTGACAGCTTCTAGGAGCCACAGGTGACAGCTAAGTGCAGGATGGGAACCAAAGTTGGACCCCAGTATGAGCACAATGTGTTCCCCACCAAAGGTACTACCCCTCCCCTAACAACATCTGGAGGGCCACAGGGTCTTCAACCCTGCACTAGAACATACTGATTAGTGACAGTAATTGCCTAAGCAAACTAAATGTCCAGTCACC